GCCTTCAAGTCATTTATATAGTGAACCTATCACAGGTTTTGTATGGCAATAGAGGTCTGCCATTGCCTTCCTCTGCACATGAGAAAGTGTGACTTGCTCAAGGTCACCCAGTGGATTTCATGGCTGAGGGAGGATTTGAAGCCTGGTCTCCAGAGTTATAGTCAAACACTGAAAACACTATACAGTAGAGTCTCACTTATCCAACATTCCAAGTTAGAGAGTGCCTTTTTCTTCCAATTTTGAAAATGTCGGATAATATGGAATCTTTTGTTCCATATTATCAAATATCTGACACCCCCCTTTCCTCCAGCATTTCCCCTTCAATTAAAGGACCGCTCCCCAACTCTATCTCCATTCAAAATAAGTGAAAAAGTCAAGTCAATGAAGAGGAGGGAGGAAAGGGGGAAAAGAGGCAGGACTGGAAGTGGAAGCATCCTCCCTCCTTCCCTCTATGATTTCCACGCTCCTCTTCCACATCCGGGCACTTCCTGCTGGGCTGCTCTAGCCCCCAGGCATTGCCTTGCCTTAACCTTTTGAGCCCCTATTGTTAGTATTCTAGGTGTCTAGTGCCGCATTGGACAGGTAACAGTAGGAAATACCTTGCCTCCATCTTGCCGAAGGGCCTCTGGGCGGCTTACATGGGGATAAGCCCGATCAACATAGTTAAAATAACACATTAAAATTCAAAAACATCAACATAAAGCAAAATAAAACAAAAACAAACAAACAAGAGCATAACTCAATATAAAAACAACCATCACAAACAACCAGTAGTCTGAAATAGTAAAACAGATCTGGGCTCGGGAGGGGGGAGGGGGGCGAGACAAATAGTTGTGAGGAAAGGGCTGATTGATGCAAGTAGATACTAAGTGCAAGTAGATACTAAGGAACCTAAGTGTGCATAGAATGGAGTCCATTGTCTCCAGCTAAAACTTATCAGTCTAACCCAAGCATGAGAATTGTGAGAGTTGACCTGGAGGGCCAAAGTTTGACCATGCCTGGTCTAACCACTAAAGTACATTAGTGTGCACAACTGAATACCCATTCCTTCAACATTTCGACAGATGAAAACTAGGACATGTGTAGTTCAGCAATATTACTCTGGGGCCAATATGGGATTAGTTATTAATGGATATGATTATTTAGGCCAGGAACAGCTGCAGCAGCTTGCTTTTATCTGAGTTTACAGGGAAGGACAAGATCCTGCCCTTTCCTATTTCCCCAGCTAAATAAATTCAGTGGAAATTAATTTTGCACTTTCAATTCTGTTTATAGCAATTGAATAAAGCTAAGGACAAAGGAGGAAAGTGGGAGGGAGGGAAATCTATTAAAATGCAATAACAGAAGCTTAATCAGCATTGTCCCTGCCAAATTGGAATAGCCAGGGGTATGAATACATTTCTTATTCTCTTGTAAAGTACAAGAAAACTAAATGATAGCAAAACTGCAGGATTTTGATTACTTGAATAAACAACACCACAGAAAGGACCCAGATTGTAGGGAAACTGTGCTCACTCCATCTACAAAATAGTGTTAAAGTATTGATATACCATGACCAAACTAAGGAATATGTGGTCGTACATATGGTGTTGGCTACAACTCCCATCATCTCTTACTATTGCTTAAGCTAGTTAGACAAGAGAACTCTAGACTCACAACACATAGACCAGAGGTGGTAACCAAATGGTCTTCTAACCAATATGTAGACAGTTTAAGAGAGTTGGAAAAAAATGCAACCTGTTATCCCCAAGTGGTCTAATTCCAATTTTCTGGCTCAAGGGCAACAAGAAGGCCACAAGACCCTTCAAACCACTCGATCCTGAATTTTGAAGAAAAAAAACTGGTGCTGAAAAACTGGCTGAAGCAGTTTAGATTTAAGCACACACATCCTGACACATAATGCCTGGTTTTCACTTTTGAGTTAGCTAAGATCTGTCTCTGTAGCCTGCCCAAAAGGATAAAAAGATGAAATGTGGCCCTGGTATATTTTCCCACCAGCCTCAACTCTGTATCCTGTATCCTATGTGAGATCAGATGAGGCAGACCAGTTTCTTTTCAAGTGGTCACCAGCACAGCTTAGTAAGTGACCAGTTATTACTCCTACTGCTTATGTCCAAGTGGAGGAGAGAGAGCATCCAGCCCATTTGAAAAAGTTACTTTTTGGGAGCCTACAAGGTCCAATAGCATAGCTAAAGGATTTTCTGGCTTACAGTTCTAGCCAAAAGCTACTCATGCTCTAGCCCAATGTTTCTCAACCTGGGGATTGGGACCCTTGGGGAGGGTCACAAGGGGAGTTTCAGAGAGCTCACCAAAGACCACGAGAAAACACATACTTCTGATGGTCTTAGGAACCCCTTTGGCAGAGAAGGCTGAAGATCTCTCCATCTGTCATTCTCTTCCTTTTTGGAAACAGATGGCAAATCCTTCCACCAAAAGCCCTCCTCCTGCTCTCTGGATGTAGGTGAACTACAACTCCAAAACTCAAGGTTAATGCTCACCAAACCCTTCCAGTATTGTTTGTTGGTCATGGAAGTTCTGTGTGCCAAGATTGGTAAAATTTCATCGTTGGTGGAGTTCAGAATGCTCTTTGATTGAAGGTGAACTATAAATCCCAGCAACTACAACTCCCAAATTACAAAAATTAATCCCCCCACCTCACCAGTATTCAAATTTGGTTGTTTCAGGTATTTGTGCCAAATTTGGTCCAGTGAATGAAAATACATCCTGTATATCAGATATTTACATTACGATTCATAACAGTAACAAAATTACTTATGAAGTAGTAATGGAAATAATTTTATGTTTGGCGGGTCACCACAACATGAGGAACTGTATTAAAGAGTCGTGGCATTAGGAAGGTTGAGAACCATTGCTCTAGCCTCATGGAAAGGAGATGGCCTGGAGCAGGCATGGACAAACTTTGGCCCTCTATGTGGTTTGTGGGAGTGGAAGTCCAAAACACCTGGAGGACTGAAGTTTGCCCATGGCTGGTCTGGCGGGTGGAGGCTGTTCAGAAACCCTAATGAAATCTACTTCCATGGAATGATTGCTGGTCTGGAAGCCACGGAGGAGTACTTCCGATAGCTTTCTGGTGACAACTTGGAAAGCAGAGACCACCCACTTGGACACTGCAGAGAAATCCAGACCAAGGAGTGGATGCTTCCAAGCTTGCCTGGGAGGGTTGGCATATTCTATTCTTTTCCTTATAGGCTGCATCTGCACTGGTAAATATATTTATTTATTTACTCTATTTCTATTAACTATTACTGTTTGTAAATTTAACAAGGTCTTGAACCTTCTCTTCCAAAGCATTCTGGTGCCTCACCAAACTCCAAACTCCCAGAATCCCATAGCATTGAGCCAAATCAGTTAAAGTGGTGTCAAGCTTCATAGCTTCTGAATTGACAGTGTGGATGAGGCATGGGCCCTCCAGGTGTTTTGGACTTCAATTCCTACCATTCCTAACAACCTCAGGCCCTTAAGATTAAGTGGCTGAGGGGAAAAAGGAAAGGGCCTGAGGCTGTTAGGAATGGTGGGAGTTAAAGTCCAAAAGAGCTGGAGGGCCCAAGAGATGCACCCTAAGAGGAAGCAGGGCTGTACTGCTTCTGCTGCTTCTGCTGCTTCTGCTGCTTTGTAGTTCAACTCCCAGAATTTCTGACCATTGGACAAACTTACTGCGGTTTCTGGGAGTCTCTTCATCACATTAGAGAAAAAAATCCACTTAAAATCCAGTTTCTGCCTCCTGCAGAATTCTGGGGTTTGTAGTTTAGTGAGGGTATTAAAGGCTCATCCCTAAACTACAAACTCCAGAATTCTGCAGGAGGCAACAACCAGATTGGCTGATACATTCATTTCTATTTTTTTCTATTAGCCTATTCTAGTCATTTCCCTCTAAGGTTGGTACACTGGGAAATGTCATAGAATCCTGTTGGTTGTAATTTTACAAGGTCTTGAGCCTTCTCTGTCAAAGCATGATGGTGCCTCACCAAACTACAACTCCCAGCATCCCATAGCATTGAGCCAAAGCAGTTAAAGTGGTGTCAAACTTCATAGCTTCTGAATCGACAGTGTAGATGAGGCATGGGCAAACTTGGGCCCTCCAGGTGCCTTGGACTTCAACTCCCACCATTCCTAACAACCTTAAGCAGCTGAAGGGGAAAAGCAAAGGGCCTGAGGCTGTTAGGAATGGTGGGAATTGAAGTCCAAAACATCTGGAGGGCCCAAGAGATGCACCCTAAGAGGAAGCAGGGCTGTACTGCTTAAGCTGCTTCAAAACTTTGCGCTTAAGCGGTTGAGGGGGAAAAGGAAGGGGCTTGAGGCTGTTAGGAATGGTGGGAGTTGAAGTCTTAAGGTTATGCGGCTGAGGAGGAAAAGGAAGGGGCCTGAAGCTGTTAGGAATGGTGGGAGTTGAAGTCTTAAGGTTTTGCGGCTGAGGAGGAAAAGGAAGGGGCCTGAAGCTGTTAGGAATGGTGGGAGTTGAAGTCTTAAGGTTTTGTGGCTGAAGGAGGAAAGGAAGGGGTCTGAGGCTGTTCGGAATGGTGGGAGTTGAAGTCTTAAGGTTATGAGGCTGAGGGGGGAAAGGAAGGGGCCTGAGGCTGTTAGGAATGGTGGGAGTTGAAGTCCAAAACACCTGGAGGGCCCAAGACATGCACCCTAAGAGGAAGCAGGGCTGTGCTGCTTCAAAACTTTGCTCTTTCAGCGATTTTGGGCTTCAACTCCCAGAATCTCTAACCATTGGACAAACTTATAGCGCTTTCTGGTGGTCTTTTCATCACACCTAGAGGGAAAAATCCACTTAAAATGCGGTTTCTGCCTCTTGCAGAATTCCGGGCTTTGTAGTTTAGTGAGGCTGTTAAAGGCTCCTCCTTAAACTACAAACCACGGAATTCTGCAGGCCGCAGAAACTGGAATGGAAGTGGATTTGTTTGCGAGTGTGCTGAGGCCACAAGTCCAAAAGAGCAACTTGGGGAATGTCTGAAAGCCAAGGCGCTTCTTCTTACCGTCCGCCGATGCCCGGGTGGCTGAGCTGCTGCCGCATCCAGTTGAACTGTTTCTTCATCATCTTGAAGGAGAGAGGAGAACCGTCCCAAGACCAGGATCCAGCCGGCCGGCAAGGGCTCCAYCCCACTTCTTCCCCCAGCCCTCCTTTAAGGCCCGCCAGCAGCGCCTCTTGCCGCCATCCCTGCCCTCCTCCTCCTCCTCCTCCTCCTCCTCAACAGGTTTGCTTCCTTCTCATTATCTYGCCTTCCTTTCCCTCTCTCTTTGCGGTTTCCCTCCCTCTGCCTCCCCTCCCCTCCTCTCCTCCTCCCAGGTCGACTTCCTTCTCTTCCCCTCCACTTCTTCTCTTTCTTTCTTCGTTCCTTCCTACTCCTCCTTTCCCCACCTCCTTGCTCTTCCCTTCTCCTTCTCGCCTCTACTCACCGCCACCTTTCTCTCTCTCTCTCTCTGTTTCTGATCAGGTAAGAAGGTCTCTGCCCGCTGCTCCTCTCAGTTCCTCTCACCACCCCATCGAAGACCTTCTTTTTGGGTTTTGTTTGGAGTATAAATAACTTCGGCCGAGCCTTAAAGGGGAAATATTATGACAGCAAACACGCAGCTCAGGCAGAACAAGCGACGTCTTCTGCAAGCGCTGGTGGTTGTAGTATTTTACTACTTCCTACTTTTGTTTTCTCTCTTTCTCAGCATTGGCAGGCTGACATATCTGGGCTTGGGTTGTATGACTCCCCGAACGGCAGCTAGGAGTGCATCTACGCTGGAGAATTAATGCAGTTTCAACCCCGCTTGCACTGGCGTGGCACGTTGCTATGGAATCCAGGGAGTTGTAGTTTTACAAGGTCTTCAGCCTTCTCTGCCAAAGAGTGCTGGAGCTTCATCAAACTGCAACTCCCAGGATTCCATAGTTCTGGGCCACAAATGGAATGTTGGTGGACAGGAAAAGAGATTTAAAGATGGGCTTAAAGCCAACCTCAAAAACAGTGGCATAGACAATGAGAACAGGGGAGCCCTGGCTCTTCAGTGCTCTAACTGGAGGTTAGCTGTGACCAGCAGTGCTGCAGAATTCAAGAGGCATGAATGGAGGGTGAAAGGGAGGAATGTGACAAGAGGAAGGCAGTCAAGCCAACCCTGACTGGGACTGCTTGCCGTCTGGAAACTGTTGTCCTCACTGCAGGAGAACATGCAGATCAATAATAGGGCTCCACAGCCACTTACAGACCCATTGCCAAGACACCACGACTCAAAGACAATCATCCTCGAGCTACAAGGGATCGCCTGAGTAAGTAAGTAACTGGGGTACACTAAAGTGAGGTCAAATTCCATTCACGCTACAGTGTAGACCAGTGGTTCCCAACCTGTGGTCTGCGGACCACCAGTGGTCCCCAATACCATGTGACAACGAGAGCAACTAGTCTCGTAAAACCCTCTTATAATGCTGAAGCAAGGAGGCTGAGATGACAGGAAAGCTTAGAGGAGACAATGATGCTGGGGAAAATGGAAGGAAAAAGAAAGAGGGGCTGACCAAGGCCAAGATGGATGGATGGTATCCTTGAAGTAACTGGCTTGACTCCGAAGGAGCTGTGGGTGGTGACGGCCGACAGGCAGCTCTGGCAAGGGGTGGTCCATGTGGTCACGAAGAGTCGGAAGAGACTGAATGAATAAACAACAACAATGAGACCAAATGAGAAACTCCCTCCTGGGCACACAGAAGAGGGGACAACCTGGAAGGCGCTGAACAGGTTGCACTCTGGCACCACAAGATGCAGAGCCAACCTTAAGAAATGGGTCTACAAAATGGAGTCCATGACATGCAAGTGTGGTGAAGAGAAACCACAGACCACCTACTGCAATGCAATCTGAGCCCTGCCACATGCACAATGGAGGACCTTCTCACCGCGACACCAGAGGCACTCCAAGTGGCCAGCTCCTAGTCAAAGGACATTTATATAATGCTCAAATCCAAATGCATACAACTGTGTAGTAAAATTATTTATCTATACACATAATGGGTACTAGTATTTATAGTTCACCTGCAATCCAAGAGCACTCTGGACTCCACCAACAATGGCCCTGAACCTAACTTAGCGCACAAAATACTCAATATGCCCACATTTGAATACTGGTGGCTCTGGGGTGGACTTGGCCTTGACATTTGGAAGTTGTAGGTACTCGGATGTATAGTTTACCTGCAATCAGAGCACTCCGAACCCCACTGATGATGGAGTTTCAGGGGGTTAACCTGGCATGATGTGAGTTGTACTTCATCCCCAACCTTATACATTTTGTAAAATGCAGAAATAACTTCTTCTAACAACCAGGACAACACCGGATACCCAAGTGTGTGTGTGTGTGTATACATAGATACATACATATATTCCCAAAAGAATACGCTGATTTTGCGCTCTCTCTCTCTCTCTCTATATATATATATATATGGCAAAATCAGTGTATTCTTTTGGGATTTTTAAAACTGAATTTCTGAACCATGGGTGGTAGACTCTGGATACCCTCTTTCTTTTGGGCCAGGTCTCTTCCTTGTGTTAATCTTGTGTGTGACAACACTGATCATCAAACAACATAACATACAATTATACAGACTCATGTCCTGTCCTCTCCCAAGATCTCTAATTGCATCCTGCCCACACAGTTTCTAAGGCTGTTAATCCTCTGTTTTGAACAAAAAACTGCACCAAAACAAAATTCTCCATTAAGGAAATGCAGATATACAATGAGGTCTGAGTACGGAAATCTTCCTTATCTGGTCACTGTTTTATCTTGCTCAGTCCTCACTATGCTACTGAGTTTGCATGGCACACTGCCAGTTATACTTTCAGTTCTGTCCTCATAAGGACCAGAACCCTGATTATTTTTCCTTGCTTTAAAAAAATACTTTATCAAGTTTGTAATAGCTTGCAGAGCACAAAATACTAAATCTAGAATTGCTGTTGTTGCATGCCTTGAAGTGATTTCTCACATGGTGATCCCAAAGCAATGACCAATCTCAATGAGATAGTGAAGAGTAGAGACATCACGCTGGCAACGAAGATCCACATAGTTAAAGCAATGGTATTCCCCATAGTAACCTGTGGATTCGAAAGCTGAACCATAAGGAAGGCTGAGTGAAGGAAGATAGACACTTTTTGAACTGTGGTGATGGAGGAAAATTCTGAGAGTGCCTTGGATCGCGAGAAGATCCAACCAGTCCATACTTCAGGAAATAAAGCCTGACTGCTCACTGGAGGGAAGGATATTAGAGGCAAAGATGAAGTACTTTGGCCTCATCATGAGAAGACAGGAAAGCTTGGAGAAGACAATTATGCAGGGGAAAATGGAAGGAAAAAGGACGAGGGGCCGACCAAGGGCAAGAAGGATGGATGGTATCCTTGAAGTGACTGGCTTGACTCTGAAGGAGCTGGTGGTGGGGACAGCTGACAGGGAGCTCTGGTGTGGGCTGGTCCATGAGGTCACCAAGAGTCGGAAGCAACTAAACGAATAAACAACACAAAGATCACAAAGCCAATAGGGTTACCTTGAACAGGCAAGAGTTCTTTCTCCCACCCTGGACATTCCACAGATATATAAACCCCATTTTCCTAGTTTCCCACAGATCTCACAACCTCTAAGGATGCCTGCCATAGATGTAGGTGAAATGTCAGGGGAGAGTGCTTCTGGAGTATGGCAATACAGCCCGGAAAACTCACAGCAACCCAGTGATTCTGGTCATGAAAGCCTTTGACAATAAATAGGGGGTTTTTTTGGGCAGAATTTTTTCATAGCGGATTTGCCTTTGCTTCTTTTGAGGCTTAGAGAGTGTGACTTGCCCAAGATCACCCACTAGGTTTCCATGACTAAGTGTGGATACAAACCCTGGGTTCCCAGTGTCCTAGTCCAATGCTCAAATCACGACTGGCTCTTAGAATGCTGTTCATAATTCCATGCTTACCCTGATAAATAATGGCACATTCAACAGCCCTCTTTTCCATCTCCGGAGTGTTCTGTTCAATGTGTGGAATTATAAATATGTGCTGAAAGAGCCACCCTCACTCCTTCAGCGTCATCTAATAAAAAAAGCTGATTAGCAGTAGAAATGAGCTTGGAAAAAGTTTGAAGCACAGCCCTCAGAATGTGGGTTGTTGTAGGTTTTTCGGGCTATATGGCTATGTTCTAGAAGCATTCCCTCCTGACATTTCACCTGCATCTGTGGCAGGCATCCTCAGAGGTTGTGAATTCTAGGAGTTGTACAAGCAGTAACTTTTTAAAGCTGTGGTTCACAGTAATAACAGAGAAATGCAGCAGAGAAACTATCATAGAACGTAGAATAAGCAAGAAACATACTGTTGTAAGATGTGGCAAATGACCACCAGCTTGGGTAACTTTTGAAAATTTACTAGATTTGTGGGTGACCAATCCATTGAGGACCTGTTCACCATGGTAGCCAAATGGCATAGAAGGGGTGCGCTGGAAAGAGTGGTTGGCTACCTTTTTCCTTCTGGCCCTAAATTCTTCAGGAATTAAGGGTACTGGTACAGCAAAACAATTATTGGGTCTGAATGATAGTAGGAAGATAGTTTTTTTTAAAAAAAATACTGGGAATCAGATTTTGTTCATTTTTCAGGAAGTTAAGAGGAAATCTATATAATATATGTATTGTATTGCATTGTACTGATGTGGATGAATGTTATTTGGTTTTTTTTTATATGTAGGTTTGACACTGTGGTGAATATATAGATATATTAATGTATACTATATGCAAAACCATACACATATACATATGTATGGACCTAACACATATAGAGGGAACTACACAACGCTCAACTATTGTTATTGTTGTTTACTTTTATGTTTGTCTTGTCCAATCTTCTTTAATAAAAATGAATTTAAAAAGATTTTGTTCATTTTCATGGTTTCCTCCTTTCTGTTGAAATTGTCCACATGCTTGTGGATTTCAGTGACTTCTCTGGGTAGTCTGACATGGTGGTTGTTAGAGTGGTGCAGCATTTTTGTGTTGTCAAATAATATGCTTTGTCCAGGTTTTCATCAGGTGCTCTGCTATGGATGACTTCTCAGGTTGAATTAGTCTGAGTGCCTTTCATGTTCCTTGATTCATGTTTGGTGGTCCCTATGTAGACTTATCCACAGCTGCATGGTATACAGTAGACTCCTGCAGAGGTGAGAGGATCCCTCTTGTCCTTTGCTGAACGTAGCATTTGTTGGATTTTCTTAGTGGGTCTGTAGATTGTTTGTAAGTTGTGTTTCCTCATCAGCTTCCCTATGCGGTCAGTGGTTCCCTTGATGTATGTGAGAACACTTTTTCTCTGGGTGGATCTTTTGTCTTTACTCTCGTGGCTTGTTCTCGGTCTTCTAATTCTGTGGTGGAGTATCCATTGCTTTGTAGAGCCCAGTTTCGGTGGTTCAGTTCAGCTTGGAGATTATTTTTGCACAGTCTGCCAGGGCTTTAATTGTGCTTCTCTTTTTTTCTTGGGTGATGTTTGTAGTTTTTATGTAATTAAATGTAATCTATTTGTTTGTTATGTGCCTTCAAGTTATTTCTGTGGTGAACCTATCACAAGATTTTATTGGCAGCATTTGTTCAAATGAGGTTTGCCATTGCCTTCCCCCAAGGCTAAGCATGTGTGATTTGGCCAAAATCACGGTGTGGGGGTTCCATATTAGAGTGGGAAATTGAACCCTGGTCTCTCAGTCCAGTGCCCATACTACTACATCTTAAGAGGCTTTCCAAGTTCATGAAAAAAATATGTTTT